AGAGCGCCCCACCCTTAGAGTGTCCCCCATCCTTACAGCGCCCCCACCCTTAGAGCACCCCCCACCAACTTTTATCACAAAGTTACAACCTTGATGATGCTAAAAAACAAACACCTGCAAAGAAAAAAAATGCTGCAAGTAGGAAAAACAACCACTAGGGGGAGACATCACCCATTCAAATGGGTTTAAACCATACATATAACTATGAATTAAGGAATATGGACCAGATCTGTTACATTTGATATTAACTGCATTCTCGCCTGGAGATTTGGATCATCCATCAAAAGGTATTAAATCGTTAAGGACACTTCAGATAAATCGGGAATCCATCAGACGTCTACGTGATCAGAGCTGTCTGAATAGCACTACAGAGAGGAAGCAGGATGCTTCCTTTTCTAGTTCATTTAGCATAGGGACCTTCTATCCACCACATTGGCGCTGTTTGGTTTCCCACAATCCTCCGAAATTCTTTGTTTATTCCCCGTTTTCTGTTTGTCTTGCTAATGTTCCCACCTTCGTATGTTTGGGTTTTCTAAAAAAGCGCTTCAGACGTTCAGTTGAAGGACTTTAGTTTATTTTAACTTCTTTTCTAACAACTAATCTAATGTGACTAAGCTTTACTGAGACTAAAAACCGTCCAGATTTGGTTCCTGCCCTGGATAAAGCTCTGACTGTTGACCCTGCGAAAGGTAAAAAAAACGGGAGCTACAACAATCAGATCTATCTGCGCTCCTGATGTATGTCTTTAGTAAGGGTCCGGTCCAATATGAGTTGGTGAGGATCGACTCCCCCTGGTGGCCTGGAGCCCCTCTGCTATTACACATTATCTTAACTTGCAGCTGTTTTTGCTCCAAGTATTTTGTTTGTTTTTGCATCATTTATGTTTTTGAAGCAGTTTTTTTGTATGTCTGCACTCATTTTTGTCCGTGCTGTACTTTTTTTTATTTGCATCACATTTATGTGCGTTTACACCTCTTGGTCAGTGAAACGCAGAGAATCCAGTATGGCCTGATTCCCACGATAAAAGGCCAGTTTAAGACAGTATTAGCACTACCTCTGTCGTCTGTATGAACAAACAAATTCTGCCTCGGCTCTTTGTTTACCTAATCAAATGAGTGGAACATGCAACACTGGACACTTGCTGTGGATGCTAGCAGACACTTGGTGCAGTCCGTCAGCTGGTTGGGAAAGGATAGACCTGTCCTGTTTCCAGGCAGGGGCCCCTCTGGACCTCAGCCCATTATGTAACATGGACTCAGATCAGACCGCTTTAACAAACTCAGTAAAAAAAAATGAAATCAATCCAGAATTGGTTCTGGCTCTACAGTCACTGCCACCGCTGGGATCTCTCTATGCTCGGTGCCAGGTTCTGGTTCTGCTTTGCTTCTGCGACCTTTTGGATCAGAACCAAAGAACATTATGCTAGCAGCCATTTTTAATTTTCTCTGAATGCAGGAGCCCCGACACCCAATGTCTGCTTCATACCGCATGGAGGATGAAACAGTAAAATAAAGGAATCCTAAGATCACCTTCTAACAAGCTACAGCTGAAATGTTAAACAGGAAATGACATTTATCCTCCGTGTTATCAAACATATCTAGATATTGTACATCTACAGCAACAGACTGTTTTATTCAGGGTAGGGCTTCACTGGGGTCACTGAAGCCAACCCCATACCGTCATTGGCTAACATGTCTGCACCTGATGGACGCCAGGCACAGACTGACCAATCAGCTACAGGGGGACCAAAATCAGACCAGGAAGGCCGTCTGTGTTCTGCAAATAGAAACTGTGGGTCCAAAGGGCTCCGCTTTATTTAAACAAGGAAAAAATAGAGATCACATTTACAGGTGTTCATGAAGGAGCATTTGACCACAGCTGGAGCTGCTCGCTCTATCGACTGTATGTGAGATAAAGGTACTTTGATCACAGCTAAACCAAACAATCTGATAAACCTCATGCTGGTGAAGGTTCTCAGCAATCCCCATTGAGGTGAATCCACAGAAAACAAAACAGAAAAACTCAAAATGAGGCAAACGGAGACGCCCCCCAGAGCCAAGCCAGCTGCCTTTGTTGACTTCCTGTTCAAATGGAATGTAAT